AGGGCCCGCACAAGTCCTGTGTCCTCCAAGCAGGTTTGGGCATGGTGGTGGTGGCCGCCTGGGACACTCTGTCCCTCTGGCTTGGCTCACTTTGGGGGAAAAGGAAACCGCCTTCCCACAAGGCGAATCATTCTAACGGGTTTCCCCTGGGATTCCTGCTTCCACGAGGAGCAGGACACGGGGGAATGAAAAAGGAGGTGGGCCCAGAGGACAGGGGTTAGGGCAGCAGGAGAAGGATGCTCAGGGATCTCCTCCCGCCCGCCAGGGGTGGGGAACCGAGCCCAGGAGCGCGAGGCACTGAGACCGCAGCCCCGGCGCCCCGCCCACCCCGCCCCGCCCCGCCCACCGCCCCGGGAGCCCCGCCCACCGCCCCTCTCGGAAGGGGCGGCTCCTCCTCCTCCTCCCGCGACCCAACCGACCTGCGCGCGCCTCAGGCCCCGCAGCCGAACGCCCAGCGGCGGATCCGTCGCTTGTGTCTCCACCCGCAGTTGTGTAAGGTGCGCGGGCCGCGGGCGAGCAGACGGGGAGAGAGGGACAGAGGGAGGAAGGGAGGCAGGGACGGGGGCAGGGACGAAGGGAGGGAGGCACCGAAGCCGCTCCTCTCCGCCAGTGCCGGGATGGAAGCCCGCAAAGCGCAGCAGAGCGGGCTCGTGCAAGCTCTCTCGGGGTCCGCTGTCCCGGGTCCGCGTCCTGCTGCCTCCTCCCTGGGACTTTTTCCCCCCGCAGTGCCCTGGGGGTTCAAGGTGCAAGCTGAGCCGCTCGCTCTCAACTCCTTTTGCAGAAATGAGGTTTTGGGGAAGTTTTTTTCTTAACTCGGAGCCTCTTTTTTTTTTCTTCCTTCCCGCGCAGAAAGCCCATAGCCCGCCATGGAGCGTGCCTTTACCCCGCTGGAGCCCCTGCTACCCACGGGTACTGTGTCATCCCCTTCCCGGAGGTGGTGCTGCTGCTGCCCGTGCTCCACCCCGGCCTCCCGTGTTCTCCCGCCTCGTGGGCAGGCCACCCAGCCTCCCACGCGGCCTCTGGTTCCCCTGTGTGGAAAGTGGACACTGAGTATTAGTCTTCACCCCGTAGACCCTTTGTGAGGGCCCAGGGAGGAGGTGACAGAGTTTTGTGTCCTCCTGACCCGGTGTTCCAAGAGTTAACAAAAGCCTGAGATGCCAAACACATAACTCCCAGCAGCTCAACCTTCCACACTGCAGGGGGAAAAACAAAATCAAAAATCCAAAACATGAGGGACAGGGAGAACTGCCTGCTGTCAGGGACGCATTTCTAGTCACCTGAGAAATAGCCTGAACTTAGTACAAGAGTAGCAAACGGTTATCTAAAAGTCTGAAAGGTTTAACGCTAAGGATTTCAATTATAATTGTGTGTGCGCGTGCGAGTGCTGGGGATCGAACCCGGAGCCTTGAGCCCGCTAGACCAATACTTTCATCAGTAAACTGAATTCCCAACCTCAAGGATTTGTATTTCTCAGACTTTGAAATTATTGCCTTCCACGTGTGTCGAATGAGTTGTGTTAGTAGCATTTATCCTTATGTAAATTGTGAGGCTAGATGTATTTAGTTTTCAAATTTGTTTTCCTATATCTGCGTGTGTGTGTGTGTGTGTGTGTGTGTGTGTGTGTGTGTGTGTGTGTGTGTATAAGCACATGTGCAGATGTCAACCCTGAGTGTCATCCTTCAGGCCCTGATCACTTTGTTTTCCCTACTCACTGGCCTGGAAATCATTGATTAGGCTAGGCTGGCTGGCCGGCCAATGGATAGGATCCCCTGTGGCCACCTCCCTAGAGCTAGCATTAAGTGCCCATCACTATGCCATGTATTTGTATGTGGGTTCTGAGGTTGAACTCAGCTCTCCCTGCTCTCCTGACTGAAATGTCTCCCCGGCCCCTATTCGCCAATTACTGCTTATTGTGTTTGCACTGTGTGGGATTTTGGGTTAATCATCGGTTTCAGAAGAAAGCATCGTTTTTGGAATGGCCTTTAGTTTTTACAAGCTCGTGAATTCAGGGGTCTTGTTCTGAGGTTTGAATTTGATTTTTGCTTATCACCAGTACATCCTGGGAGTGCTGGTAGGAAAATCCACAGGTTACAGTACTGGCAGTAGGTGACATTGACTTCTTAGTCTTAGTCATTCATTGTGCTCATGTACCCCTTAAGGGCTGAGATGGTTTCCAGTAAACATAGGGCTATATGAGTCTAGAAACTGTGAACATGCAGGAGTCTTGTCTGTACATACTAAGAGGGCTACCATGTCACTAGTGCATGTGCTGGTGGAGAACCACCCTTGTATACATACAGTGCATCATCGATACATTTTTACCATACACACACACACACACACACACACACACACACACACACACACATACACACAGGAAAAGAATGAAAGAATGAGGATTAAAACTCATTTTTGTTTCTTTTTCTGTTTTTTTTGTTTTTTTTTTTTGTTTTGTTTTTCGAGGCAGGGTTTCTCTGTATTGCTTTGGAGTCCGGCCTGGATCTCGCTCTGCAGACTAGGCTGGCCTCGAACTCACAGAGATCTGCCTGCCTCTGCCTCCCGAGTGCTGGGATTAAAAGCATGCTCCAACAACGGGCCGGCTCATTTTTGTTTCTTCCTAAACTTGATTATAATGTTTCCTGTTTGTTACTATAAACAGTTTTTCAGACATCAAGCATCACAACATCTTGCAAATTAAATTTCACAGTTCTTAATTACCTAATAACGGCAGAGCCAATAGCATTTCCAAAAATAAACATTTGATCCGGCGGACTTACTGACCTTCAGATGTCTTATCTAAAATGTGAGGATGTTACTGTCCAGAGGCGGCCAGTGCTCTCTGTCTTGAAGAAAGAGCCACGGGGTGAGTGCTTCAGATGACCCTGAAGCGTTGGAGTCTCTAGAGACATTTTAGTCCTGCTGCCT